ATTTTTTGTAGTTTTAGTAGAGACGGGGTTTCACCATGTTGACCAGGATGGTCTCGATCTCTTGACCTCGTGATCCACCCGCCTCAGCCTCCCAAAGTGCCGGGATTACAGGCGTGAGCCACCGCGCCCGGCCGTCTTTTGTATTTTTAATAGAGATGAGGTTTCATCATGTTGGCCAGGCTAGTCTTGAACTCCTGAGCTCAGGTGTTCTGCCTGCCTTGGCTTCTCAAAGTGCTAGGATTACAGGCATGAGCCACCACACCTGGCTAAAGGAATATATTTCAATTCATAAAGAAGCACAAGTTTGTCCTCAAAGACCTTTACTAGATAAAATATATATGATGAAACAACAACAAAAAATTAAGTGACAGCCCTGAAAACATTACCCTGAAACAAATAAAAGAGGTCTTTTGTTCTAACATTATTTCCTTTTCTGATGTCAAAGAGCCTTACCTAGATCCAGCAGCAATTTTAGTACCATCCCCACTAAAGACCACATGGTTTGCATTTGTAGTGAAGCGAGTCAATATACCATCTGGAACTCCTTCAGGAAATGTGTGGACTTGAATAGTATTATTAGAAACTGCAGTGACCAACTTTCCATTCTAAAAGAAAAATTAAGAAACATTAGCAAAACAAATCCAAATCAACTGGGAGTCTCTCCATAGTTAAAAATCTGGTAAAAAACAAAAAAACCTTAAAAATGTAGTTCATATCAAGAGAAAAATTACCACTAAATGTACAACTTTGCTGAAATGTACATTAACAAAAAAAACTTGCTAGCTTTACAAAAGTGAATTGTACCTTTACCAGCCAATCCTTTAGCCTCTAATTTTTCTTTTACTTCTGGTAAGAAAAATATTTGAATAGTATTTTTATGGGTCCTAAGTGTCAATAAAATGAAGGAGATTCAAGCGAGCTTTTCAGAGAAAACAGAGCTAGTCTCAAAATGAGAAGGCATGGCCACAGTGGCCACAACAGCATTGCCCTATGTTTCCACAACAAAATCATTACATGTCTTTTTAAAGTCTAAATGTAGAATCCATGGCAGAGACTGGAGTGATGTATCTACAAGGTAAAGAATGTTGAAGATTGCCACACCACCAGAACCCAGAAGACAGGAATAGAACATATTCTCCCTCGGAGCCTTGGGAAAAGCCAATCATGACGAAACCTTGATTTCAGACTTGCTGCCTTCTGAACTTGCTTTCTGATAATTATCTATTGTTTTAAGCCCCTAAATCTGTGTTAATTTGTTACATCAGCCTTAGCAAACTAATACAAGACCATGTTTACTTTTTTCTCCTTTACAGTCTTTTTCATATACAAAGGCAGTACATGCTCACTGAAAGGAAAAAAATAACAATATGAAAATACTGGGCTGGGTGTGGTAGCTCAGACCTATAATCCCAGTCCTTTGAGAGGCTGAGGTTGGTGGATCACCTGAGGTCAGGAGTTCGAGATCAGCCTAGCCAACATGGTAAAATCCCGTCTCTACTAAAAATACAAAAAAATTAGCCGGGCATGGTGGTGGGCATCTGTAATCCCAGCTGCTTGGGAGGCTGAGGCAGGACAATCGCTTGAACCCAGGAGGCAGAGGTTGCAGAGAGCTGAGATCACACTATCACACTCCAGCCTAGGCAACAAGAGTGCAACTCCGTACCAAAAAAAACAAAAAAACCAAAAACATCCTGAGTAGAGGATGAATTCCTAATTTTATGAAGTAATCTCCATTAACATTTTGAGGTTAAGTCGTCTTAATTTTTTTTATATCCGTGTGTGTGTGTTTGTGTGTGTGTATATATATGTATTTATTTTAAGAAACAGGCTACAGTATATTAATTGTTCTGAATCTCATTCTTTTTCAACTTATTGTAAACTTAATTTTCAACTTATTATAAATATCTTTTCGGACGAAAATCAATAGAGATACTATATTTTTGTAGTGGCTGCATAGTATTCCATTATATGGTTCTAACAAAATTTATAAAATAAATTTTCTATCGAAGGACCCTTCAATTGTTTCTAACTTTTGCTATTGAAGAGTATTATTAGAATTGCTATTATGAATTGTGATTTTATTAATATCCTTTTCCATATAAACCTGAAAATAGCCAGAAATGACTGTGTGCATTTTAATTTTAATATACAGTATCAATTTGCTCTAAAAAAAAGTTTCTCATTTATATATCCAGTCACTGTATATGATAAAACTTGCTAGTCAAAGCCCTCACTATAACTGAGATTAGCAATATTTCTCAACCTTGCCAATCTTATGGGGAAAAAAGTCTCCAATTTTCAGTTTTGCACTTCTTTGCTTATTAGTAAGATTTAACTTACATTGAATGTATGTTGGTCATTTATGTTTTTTCTTCTAGGAATGTATTTTCCAGTTTTATATGACCATTTTAAAAAGAGTATCTAAACACCATCTTATCTACCTTAAATGTGTCTGGGTTTGGAAAACATATGAACTATGTGGAAAGATTTTTCAACCTAAACACAATACACTCAAGTTAAAAGTCATCACAGGATGGAGTGCAGTGGTGCAATCTTGGCTCACGGCAACCTCTGCCTCCCAGGTTCAAGTGATTCTCCTGCCTCAGCCTCCTTAGTAGCTGGGACTACAGGCATGTACCACCATATCCAGCTAGTTTTTATATTTTTAGTATAGACGGAGTTTCACCATGTTGGCCAGGATGGTCTCCATCTCTTGACCTCGTGATTCTCCCACCTCAGCCTCCCAAAAAGTTGGGATTACAGGCATGAGCCACCGTGTCCAGCCTTTCTTGCATATATTTTAATTGGTCCACCATTCCTATCCATTAATCACCTTTAATAAATCACTCAGTTTACCTTTGAAATTTTGGGGTGGTCAGGTATGGCGGCATGCACCTGCAGTCCTAGCTACCCGGGAGGCTAAATTGGGAGGACTGCTTGAACCCAGGAGTTTGAGACCAGTCTGGGCAACATAGCAAGATCCCATTTCAAAACCAAAAAAATTGGTGGGGCAAGTTAAGGCATTATCATGCATTTAAAAATATTATTTCATGAGATAAAAAAAGGTATATCTATATTCAAAAATATTTTTCCCTCAAGCATAAAAATCATATGCCAGTATCATTTCATATCAATTGATATAACTCTTTCTACTACCTTCAAAGCACATGAATATGCCTTTTCTCCAACATTAATGAACTTAGGATCATCATCATCCAAGTCTTCCCAAATCCTCACATCGCCATCACTTCCACAAGTCACAATAAAGCTGTGAAGAAAAGAAACAAATTAAAGTCATTGGACATAGTGCCTCATGCCTCTAATGCTAGCAATTTGGGAATCGAAGGTGGGAGGATCACTTGAGGCCAGGAGTTTGAGATTAGCCTGGGTAACACAGAGAGGCCTAGTCTCTACAAAAAAATTTTTAAATTAGCCAGGCATGGTTGTGTGTACCTGTAGTACAAGCTACTTTGGAGGCTGCAGTGGGAGGATCATTAGAGCCTAGGAGGTCAAGGCTGCTGTGAACCATGATGGCACCACTGCACTCCAACCTGGGCAACAGAGCAAGACTCTATCTCAAGGGAAAAAAAAGTCACCTAGTTTCAGACATAAGCTACCTCTATATTTATCACTTTTTAATGAAGTGAAGACATTAGTATTTTTTCTCATTTTATACACACAAACCCTAAAAACAAACTGCTAATTTCCTTCTATAAAATAAAAGATGAGTTTAATACTCTAGTTCTTCTTTGGCATAAAATTATAAAATTTTGAGGCAGAGTCTCACTACGTTGCCCAGTCAGTAGCACAATTACAGCTCTCTACACCTTCCGCCTCCCAAAGTCAAGTGATCAACCCACCTCAGCTTCCCAAGTAGCTGGGACTACAGGCACGTGCCACCATGCTTGGTTAATTTTTAAATTTTATTTTATTTTATTTTATTTTTTTATAGACGGGGTTTCACCATGTTGGTCAGGTTGGTCTTGAACTCCAGACCTCAGGTGATCCGCCCGCCTTGGCCTCCAAAGTGCTTGGATTACAGACGTGAGCCACTACACCCAGCCAATTTTTTTATTTTTTGCAGAGACAGGGTAACCCTACATTTCCCAGGCTGATCTTGAGCTCCTGGGGTCAAGGGATTTGCCTGCCTTCACCTTCCAAAGTTAAGGGATTACAGACATGAGCCACCACGCTTGGCCAGCATAAAATTATTTATTTGTAAGAATGTGAAAAAGATGAGTGGGCGGGTGGTGTGGCTCACGCCTGTAATCCCCACATTGTGAGAGGCCGAGGCGGGTGGATCAGCTGAGGTCACAAGTTCCGAGACCAGCCTGACCAATGAAGAAACTCCGTCTCTACTAAAAATATAAAAAATAGCTGAGCATGCTGGTGCATGGTTGTAATCCCAGCTACTCAGGAGGCTGAGGCAGGATTACTTCAACCCGGGGCAGAGGTTGTGGTGAGCCGAGATCCACCACTGCACTCCAGCCTGGGCAACAAGAGTGAAACTACATCTCAAAAAAA